GATTAAAGACACCTTTGATGGCCTCTATTTTCAATTAATGATAGTTTTATTGTGTACAATTTTTTACTGTACACTAAAAGTTTGGTTTCACACGCTCAACTCATTAACAATAAAAACAATTCAAGTAGGCTCGACTTCTCGAGTTGCTTTTCTAGATAAATTGATTGGTTTTGGTTAAGATGGTTGTTACCTTTTTCATATGACTTTCCTTCACATAATTACTAAAACATATTATAGATTCAGTTAATTCAACTAGAATTTAAGTAATTTCAATAAATTCCACTATTCACTCAATTTCACAATTAAGCAGATCTGTATATAATACTCCTATAAGGTAAAAATGTTGCTACATTTTTTCACTACTACATTTTTAGACCTAATGTAACATTAATGATGTAACATATCTATAATAGTGTTACCTATTTCTCTAATGTAACACTTTTTAGATCTAGTGTAACACTTTCTAGAAGTATAAGTGATACATTAGGTACTATAAAGTGTTTCAATAGGTCAAATGCAACACCAGCAAATGTAATGGTAAAAAAAATGTTACATTTTCTCTAATGTAACATTGTTTTACCATTACATTTGGTGGTGTTGCATTTGACCTATTCTAACACTTTATAGTACCTAATGTAACACTTATACTTCTAGAAAGTGTTACACTAGGTCTAAAAAGTGTTACATTAGAGAAATAGGTAACACTATTATAGATATGTTACATCTCTAATGTTACATTAGGTCTAAAAATATAGTAGTGTTTGGAGGTACTCTTAATTTATAATTATATCTTCAATTATGTAATAATAAAAGTATATACGAAGTATATGATATTACGTACTCCCTCCGATTCCTAAAGAAGTTCCACATTTGACTTCACACATATTAAGAAAATAAATTTGACTTTACTGTGGAGTGCACTGTTTGGCACTGTTTGAACACTGTTTGGCACTGTTTGACACTGTTTGACACTGTTTTGATGTAGATAATAAGGAAATGTTTGAAAGTGGAACTTAATTTTGAATCTGCCCGAAAAGGAAAGTTGGAACTTGTTTCAGAAACGGAGGGAGTATTAAATTAAAGAAATAGGGAGTTGTTCAAAATTTGGCCAACGATTTTGTGTTATATAAGTGCTACATTCGTTCTTAAATAAGTTTAACATGTTGAATTTACACTATTCACGTGTTCTACTTTGACTATTTTTTATTTATAAATGTACGTACTATCCTCCGTTCTTTAATTCTTGCAACAGTTTGACTTTCACGTTTGCGAACACACAACTTTGACTGTAATTATATTTAATTATGTATTAGTAAACATTATAAAAGGTTGATATTTTGGAAATTCACATTGATAGGAATTGAATAGCATTTTATATGTAATAATTTGATTAAGTATATTAGAAGAAAATCATGGTCAAAATAAGGTATGTGAATAATGAAAAAATCACAATGTTTCAAGAATTAAGAACGGATGAAGTATTAATAAATTAGTTAATTTTTTTGAAATATCATTAAAGTTGTCTCATTGTAAATTTTCAAAATATGATTTTTTAAATTTTTTTCAAATAAAAAATTGTATATAAGACGAGTACATTGACTAACTACATGCACTAACAAAATATACATTCTGTGAAAAAAGTTGAGCACGTGTATATAAGATCATTTCAAGACATTTCTTGAATAATTAAATACATAAATTTAGAACGGGTAGCTTGACAAATGAGACGATTGTGGTATGAGTTTCGAGTCCTTACGTACGCCAATTGAAATATCGAATTGAAGCTTGTTTAGTTTTCATGTTTAGAGAGACTTTCACCACTTTTAGTAGTTAAAGGTTCAGCCATTTAGGCCCTGAGGCATCACGCATATATAGTGTGAAAATAAAGATAAGGTTTGTCACACTAATACTCCTAACTATATATAATCTAACTAATTATTTACAATTTACATTTAAACAAAAAAAGGGAACTTTTTCAAAACGGTTGAAAACATCTCCAATGCTAAACTTTTGAAATTAATCGATACTTAACACATGGAAAAAATGTATGGAATGTGAAGTCACTTAAGGTAAAAGTTCGTTGAAACGTACAAAAACCATCTGCAACACATAACTTTATATTATACTTGCATATCATCATCTTGTTTTGAACTAGCATATTATATATGCACGTACTAAAATAAGGGAGCATGAATTTCTTTGACATATATGCACGTACTAAAAAAATGTTGGGGGCTTAGTAAGTTTTTTACACATTTGTTGTCAGTGGCGGAACCAGAACAAAAATTGAGGGGGGGCGAAAAAAAATCAAATCATCGAGTTGGAAAGATATACAATCTCTACTATATTCTTTTTTATGTATTTATATAGATTAATTTGATCTCAAATTGAATGCAGAAGAAATATTTTCATTTTCATGAAGTGACTCTTTATTTAGACCTATATACACAAGCGCACACATACACATACATATATATACAATCACATATATTTCCATCTATATTTGTTTTCTAGTGCCCAAACAAAACAATAGACTTTCTCTTAACACGCGAGTTTATTTCGATTTAAAATGCTTATCATTTTATTTTAAAGTTTTGTTTAAATTTCGATTTAATACGCTCGTTTTAAATATCAAGGTTTAAATAGAAATATAGCTAAACAAATAGAGGAAGATAAATTAAAACTCCCATATGGAGTATATGTAAGTTACTAACTTATCAAGAAAATAATAATTTTGTTTTACTCTTTTCAATTTAACGTTGTTTTTAGGTTATTTGTTTTTTAAAAGGATATTAATTGTTTTATTTATGCAAATTTATTAAATAAATTTAATTATACACATATAATTAAAGTCGCATATTTCAAATATTAACAAGAAGTTTTGGCATATTTGTATTAAAGCAAAGAATAAATAGTTATGTTAAGTTAAAACTTTATAGTCATTGCACTAAACAGAAAATGTAAATAACATGTCAATATTCGAAAAAGTAAAAAAAGTTAAATATTATAAATTGGAAAAATAAAAATGTATAATAAAAGTAAAAGAAATGTAGTGCGATAGGAAAAAATTAAAGGGGAAAATAATTAAAATACCCCAAACTTTGAAGGGGTGTGAGATAAACACCCCAAACTTGCATATGTAATTTAAATACCCCAAACTTTATATAAAAGTTATTTTAACACCATCTTCATGTATTATTTCTTTCAAAAATATTAATTTTTGGTGTTTATTTCATAATTTGATAATTTTTAGTATTCATAAAGATACAATTAACATTCTAAACTTCCATAGTAAAATAAATAGTATTACCCACCACTATATATAATTCTAATGTTTTCAATTTTCTATTTTAAATTATGCATTTAACACCATATATTTACATTTTTGAAAGAAATCATACATAATCATGGTGTTCAAATAACTTTTTATATAAAGTTTGGGGTATTTAAATTACATATGAAAGTTCGGGGTGTTTATCTTACATCCCATCAAACTTTGGGGTATTTTAATTATTTTTTCCAAAATTAAAACTATAACAGTCACAAAAGAGGAGAAAGTGGAGGAGGTTTAAACAATTAAAAGACTCCAGGCGCCGGGGGGACTCGAACCCGGGTTTGTAAGAAAGCTAAAGCGAAGTTCTACCATCTCTGCTACTTAAATTATTGTTTACAAAGCAGGTCGGTGTATATTTATTACTTTACTTTGAGACGGGGCTGTACATACATATATACATATATATACACCACCATCTCCGGCGAACGGGGGGCGGCAGCACCGGCTTGCCCCCCTAGTTCCGCCACTGTTTGTTGTCAAGAACGGTGTAAATGGATTTGCCAACACGTGTGTTTCAGTGGGAAGAAAGGTTTTTCCTAGCACGGTTTGTATTGACAATTTTTGTGTGAGTTGGTAAATCTTCTAAGGGATCTATCTAGACACTTTCACTTTTTTCTTGGCACGTACTCCCTCCGTCTTATTAGACTTTTCCAACTTTCCTTTTTTATTTGTCCCAAAAAACTTTGCTACTTTTCTTTTAAAGTAATGTTTCTATGCCTCTGTTCATTTCTCTCTCATCTGCACAAACCTCAACCACACAAATTTTACTATTCTAATCTCCCACCTAACATCAACTTGGCAAAATTGAGTGGGAAGGAGGTAATACATTTTTGTGTGTCATAATATGTTGCTCGTAGTGTCATCTACCCACTTCCTAAAAATGCTCCATGAGCTCGTGGATGTACTTCATAAACTTACACGGTTAATATAACACCACTACTTTCTGTTTCTATAAAGTCTTGATCAACTAGTTTAAAGTATGGGTAATTCTATGGTGCACTCCATTGTATTTTTATGTCGATTTGAGATGGCGGCGCCCATGATGGCAACACACTCATGCTTTGTTTATAAAAAATGTCATTGTTGTATTTAAACTTAGCTTATACTAGCTTCGCCCCATTTTATATGTTTTACTTTGATTAGACATAATTATTACTCCACATAAAAGTATAATAGAGTGATAAAGTTAAAGTTATTGTAAAGTTATTGGGAGTAATAAAGTTATTGTAAAAGTAAATGTTATTTAGATTTGAATACAATAGATTGAAATATTATACATCAAGTGATTCTTTTCCAAAAAGAAAATACTCCATCCGTCCCAAATTGTTTTGCAAAGTCAACATTTTTTTGTCAACCAATAATAAAAGTCAATCCTTCCGATCGATAATTAATTCAATTTTTAATAATTAAAACTTACATATTCAGAAACTACATTAAAATCACTTCAAAAATGTAATCTCCAAATTATAATATAATTAAAAATTGACATCCTAATTAAGCAAATAAAAAGAAACTGTTTGACCAAAAAAGTCAAATTTGCAAATCAATTCGGAACGGAGGTAGTATGACACTTATTCTAAGACAACTCAAAAAGGAAAATAATACAACTAACTAAAATGGATTGGAAAGACTAAGAAATAAGTAGTCCATAAGGAAATTGCGTGTATGAAAATATACTATCTACTTGTAACAAATTAAATGGAGTAATACGGAGTACTTAAATGGTTATGAAATAGCAAGTGATGAGATAGGAGTAGTGTTCGTCACGGCATCGTAAAAGTGGTCTCCATCGTTGCGATGTGCGCTTCTTAGGAAGAATGGGTGAGACAAAAGCTTATGAACAGGCGGCCTCTTTTTAGGATCTCCAGCGAGGCACTGAATCACCATATCAGTGAACGGCTCAGAAAATTGTGCAAGTCGCCCACCACTCCGGTCACCAGCATTAGGGGACGAGGAGCGAAAAGGCCGCAGCAGTTTCGCCATGAGCTTCTTGGCGGCGTTATTACGCCGTTTTCGCACCGCCGGCTCGGCGGCCTCATTAAGAAGAAGACAAGGGGAAGCCGTGGATGTGGGGAGCGACCTGTGGACACGAACATGATTGATGATTGCGTCAAAGGCCTCTCGGCTGGGAACGTTGAGTCCACCATAGGCTAACTCAAGAGCAGTGATTCCCACGAACCAAACGTCCGTCTTCTGCGTGTGGGGTCGACCATGAGTGTACACTTCCGGGGGAGCGGCCCAGTGGGACATAGAAGCCCACGGCAGAAAAGTGGACCCGTTGCATGCGGCGGCGGCGGCGGCGTCATCTTCAAAGAGAGCGGCGGCGAACCCCAAGCATATGCTGCAAGTATGCAGTGAGGGGTTGCCACAGAGGTAAACGTGTCCCGAATTGATATCTCCGTGCACAGCGCGGCGCTTCTTGTGGAGTATTTTCAGGGCGTTCAGAACGGATCTGAGGGCAGAGAGGATGAGGTCCTCTGGTAACCCTCCCGGGAACCTGTTGAACATTATGGTGCGGAGGGATCCGAGATCCGGGAATTGGCCTATCGCGACGCAGTATTTATGAGACTGGGGGTCCTTGAAATGGGCAAGCACACACAGAGAATTGGGATGACGATTATAATCCCCGCCGGCGTCCTCGGTCCTTCCGATTTCGGCCTTCACATGTGACACGATTTCTGGGTTATCCTCGACGACCTTGAGCGCGACGAACGAGTTCCCCACCCAGACGAACCCAGAACGACTCGACCTCCTCTCCGTCACCGAAACATAAATCCTGATTGCTTTGTAGACGACGATTCCTCCGCCATCGCGGCCAATGCGGTGCATGGCCACGTAACTCCCGATGGACGCATCCAAAGTCCCAGGCCGGCGGGTAGGAAGCGTGATTTCACCATAACACTTAAACACGCGAAAAACATTGTCGTCCGCATCAACATCTCTCTGTGATGATGTTTTTTCAATATTTTCGTGTATCTCGTGGCGTTGTAGAACATTACCAAAAGAACCCGGCAGCGATATCCCCTGGGAGATAAAGGTCCTTTTGCTTTCTAGGTTAACCGTGAGATCGTTAGGACGAGCTTTTGATGACGACGGCGGATCTTTATTTTGGAGAACCCTCCACATCTTATGATAGACTCGCTTAGTTTTATTACCTTCAGAAGTTGATCAGATCCTTAATCGATCGAACCGATATAAATACCATACTTCCATCTCTTGTAGAGTTGTGGTTGGTATGAATAACTGACTACGTACGTCTCATCATATCATATCATGCGGCCGGAGCTTAGTTCCGCGGTAGGTTTTAGGCCGCCTCTAGCCCTAGCGTTTAGTGGTGCTTCCCCGGCACCGCACGGGAAAATGTGTGTTTAAAATTTTTATTAAAATAGTAGGAAAATGAATTGTATATGAATTCGTCAATTAGAATTTAAAAGAAAATGCAATTGACTATGGATAGAGTTGTCAAAGTGAGTCGAAGTCCATAGTGCAAGACCATTTCATCTCACTTCATGGTGGGGTAGAGTTGTCATTCTTTAATCCGATGAACTCACAGGTTTCAAAATTTGCACGGGTTGCAGGTTAAGTGAGTTGACTCATGCAGGTTGCGAGTAAACCCAAATATAAACATGAGTTAATGACTCAAATAGGACTAATAGCAAAATTAATTGCACAATTAGGACCACATACGAAACACAACTTTCATAGAACCAATTTCAATACAGTTGGACAAAAATACCCCTCTTTTATTTTTTAAAATTATAAAACTGTAAAATAAAAAATTATTGAAACCCTAGCAGTAGCACTGCCGCCACAAGAGCCAAACCGCCTGCCGCCACCCATCGCCGACGCAAGAATCTCTAAGTACCTCAAGGAGGCTAGGGCATTGGGGTGTAGGTCATTCGACGGCACCGTCGACATTACCGTTGCCGCCGATTGGATCAAGAAACTGAAAGATGCATCTAGGGACATGCAAATTACACCTAACGTGAAGTTGACTGTTGCTTCACGTATGCTTGAGGAGATAGCTTCTACATGGTGGGAGAGTGTAGAAGGTAAATATCGAGAAAACTATCTCATGGGAGAACTTCAAACAGGATTTTGTATGTTCAATACTACTCCGACTATGAGGTTAGTGTGAAACGGAGGGAGTACACAAACCTCAAGCAAAAGGAGGGGGTAACTGTTAAATAGCTCTAGCAAGAATTTAGAACCTTGACTAGGTTCTTACCGGAGTATGCGGCCAATGAGAACCGCATGACTGAACATTTTTGGGATGCCTTACATTTGGACATCCGTGATAGGGCCACATACTCACGCCACATGTCTTTTAGTGAGGTGGTGGAGCAGGGCATGCTTGGGGAAACCCAATGGAATGAGAGAAAAGCAAGAGATGCCGAGGAGGCGAAGAAAAGGAAATGGAGTAGTTCAGGACCACCCGATCATTCACGGAAGAACAACCACGGAGGCGGTGGTTCTTATAAGGCGCTAACACCACCGGCAAAGAAGAATAGGGACTCTAGATGGCATTCTTCCCCTTCTCACAAGTCAGGGCCGTCTAAGTGTTCCAACTGTTCAAAAAACCACTTCGGAAAGTGTAATGCACCTCCTAGGTGCTACCAATGTGGGAATGCGGGTCACTTGAAGGCCAATTGCCCACAATTGGGGAGACGAGGAGCCTCGGGAGCCGGAGAAGGGACCATGATGAGGAAGAACCATGCGGGGCCGTCACAAGGCAGCACGGGGAGAAGCGGCGCATCAACAAGCAACGCCGCATCCATCAACCAAGGCGGAGCCCAAGCAAGGGTTTACGCAATGACGGAGGCAGACGCTCGTGCTACCTCGGACTCCGTGGTGGGAACACTAAAGATCAATGGTAGAAACGCAAGAATTCTCATTGATACTAGGGAATAACGTTCATTTGTGAGTGAGGCATTTGCCGAAAGTTTAGACGTACCATTGATATCAATGATGCAACCCTTGTTGGTCGCTACACCGTTGGAAGACAATGTGAGAGCAGACACTATTATCCTTCGTGTGAGGTAGAGGTGATGGGTCAACCCTTGACCTGTGACTTCGTACCTCTAAGCATGTTGGAGTTTGATACAATCATAGGGATGGATTGGCTTGAGGAGCATCGTTCTCGAGTAGATTGCTATGCCAAAGTTTTGGAACTCGATGATGATGAGGGAAACATCTTACGTTTCAAGGGAGATCGGGGAGGATCTAATGGTTGTATCATATCTGTGATGAGAGCACGGAAGATGATGAAGAAAGGATGCCACGCGTACCTTGCTTACGTGGTGGATGAGACAAAGAAGGAGGTCGACATCAACGAAGTACGTGTCGTGTGTAAGTATCAGGATGTCTTCCCCAAAGACTTACCGGGGCATCCACCCGATAGAGACATCGAATTCGTGATCGAAGTAGAGTCGGGGACCAAACCCATTTCGATTACTCCTTATCGAATGGCACCGCCGGAGCTTCAAGAGTTGAATATCCAATTACAAGAACTATTGGACAACGGGTTCATTAGACCTAGTCATTCAGCGTGGGGAGAACCAGTACTCTTCGTGAAGAAGAAGGATCGTACATGATAATCATGTAAATTCCATGTGTATGTTTGTATTTTTAATTAGTTTTGAGTGAATTTTACATTGGAAATTACACACTTTTGGTGTAATAGTTTAGTTTGTTAAATTCTTGTAAATTGTTTAGATTAGGTTTATTTTGAGCTCAAACAGGTCTTGATCACTCAAAGGACAGTTGGTGAACCCCAAAAAGTGGAAGGAAGGTGCATAATTTGAAGACAAAAGAAGGATCCTGAAATTTTGGTCTATACCCGGTCGAGTATCACCTATACTCGATCGGGTATCTTGTTGAAACTTCAAATCGGATCGGATCCGAAGACAAAGGATGATGCAGAGAAGATACGGACCACGATCGAGTGTCCATACCCGATCGGGTACACCGACACACCTGATCAGGTATCTCTTCAAATACAAACCTGAATTCGGTCGAGTATGCCCCGGATCTGAAGTTATAAGCATACTCGACCGGGTACAAAGGTATACTCGATCGGGTATGCTTATGAAATTTTCCCTTTGATCGATCGAGTATACCTCGAATTTGAGGTATTACACATACCCGATCGGGTACCTTGTATATACCCGATCGGGTACCCGAGCTGCATCCCAAGAGCCTATAAATACACCCCCTTTCCTTCACAATTAGATATCCAATTTCTTACACACTTCTAAGCTCAGTCTAGAATAGTTCTTTCTTTATATTTTTCATCATGTTTAGTCTCCAAATGAGGAGCTAAACTCTTCCATCTTGGTTTTGCTACTTTGAAGCTTAATGAATTTGTAAGTTGTGAATTATTTTCTTTAATATTCTTCCTTGAATATTAATTCTTCCTTTAAAATACTATTTCTATATCAAAGATGGGGAATGTTACTAAGATGACAATTAGTTAACATCTTGACATTGGTTATAGTAATAGTTATTTCTTCCTCTATGTTGATGGGGACTGTTACTAAGATGACAATTAGTTAACATCTTGATATTAACTATAGTAGGATTCATATTCTTTAATATTCTTCCTTGAGTATTAATTAATTCCTATTCATACTTCATGTTAATATTTTGAACATTACTTAAAGGATTAACTAGTTTTGTTTCATATATTAATTATTACTAGAATCAACTGATTAATACGCTTGTTATTAATTCGATTTATTCAACGGTAGTAAACTTGGATTATTAATGCATGCATCTCATGGTTAATACACCAAGAGGAATTAATTATATTGATTAAACAATTAAACCACCTCTGTTGAGGTTATCAATCTCAATCATTTTCATCTTAAGCTTATTGCTACTGTCGAATTAATATACGGCGCTTGTTCTATATTGACTCGATAGTAAGTTTTATTAATGAACGCATCTCGTTATTAATAACTACCCTCGATGAACTGGATATACTCCTCGATTGAGTATTCGAGAGGAAGATAGTTAAAGATATAACCGGGATCGACGAACAATTCATTAAGTGGATAAAAGCAAAACCAAGTCCTCATCTCTATTAATTAAACCACATAAGTCGTTCATCTTAGTGTTAATTAAATTAAATCAAATCAAACTAAAAAAAACCCTTTCGTTACTGTTATTATAAAAGATAAATAGTCCTTTCCCTATGGGTACGAACTCTACTTCACCTATACTACGTATAAGTGTTAGTATCGGTTTATTTTGACGCACCGTGACAAAGTGTACGTCAAATTTGGCGCCGTTGCCGGGGAAAGACAATTATTTTTTCTTTTATTGTATTTCAAGGAAACTTAAAAAAAATATAATAAACAAAATATAAAGAGTTCTTATTCTTCTATTTCTGAGCTTGGTGAAGTATATGGTTAAACACCGTTCTATAAACGAAATCACCTATCAGACGAATCCAGAAATAGAACAAACTTTCGAGCGGTTGAAAAGTAAATTTTCTAATACCGACTCGGAGGAATTATGTACCAGAGATACATCCAGCGCTAGTTCTCATTCTAGCGAGACCGAAGAGCCAATAACTATGGCTCTTGAAACAAGAACTTTGAGGGAGCTCACAGCTCCAAACTTGAATCAACAACCGTTATGTATTACCTTCCCTACACTCGATGAGGGTAATACATTTGAGCTAAAATCTGGGCTCATTCATCTATTGTCATCCTTCCATGGCCTAAGAGGAGAAGATCCAAATAAACATCTCTCGGAGTTTCACATCGTTTGCACAAGCATGTGTCCAAATGGTGTCACTGAAGAACATATCAAACTGCGGGCTTTTCCGTTTTCTCTAAAGGACACCGCAAAGGATTGGCTATTCTATCTTCCCTCGGGAAGTATAGACACATGGGCGGCAATGAAAAAATGTTTCTTGGATAGGTACTATCCCGCCTCCATCTCATCTTCTTTGAAAAAACAAATAAGCAACATTGAGCAAAAAGAAGATGAGACATTGTATGAAAATTGGGAGCGTGTCAAAAAGTTATGTGCTAGTTGCCCATATCATGGGTACACCGAGCAAGACCTAATCCTCTATTTTTATGATGGTCTTGCGGATCAAGATAGGAGAATGGTGAATGCGGCATGTGGAGGGGGGAT